ATTCCAATCAAGGGATGAGTGGTGGGAAGAGCCCAGTAGCCACAAGCGTCAACATCCTCTTGCAGGCTTATATTTCTCAGCTCAAACTTGATGGTTTTGCCCTTATGTCAGATATGGTGTATGTGACACAGAGTGCCGGCAGGCTGATGAGAGCCATGTTTGAGATTGTGCTCCACAGGGGCTGGGCCCAGCTGGCAGACAAGACCCTGAACCTGTGCAAGATGGTGGACAAGAGGATGTGGCAGTCCATGTCACCCCTTCGCCAGTTTAGGAAGATCCCAGAGGAGGCTATCCGCAAGCTGGAGAAGAAGAGCATTCCCTGGGAACGTCTCTATGATTTGGGCCCCAACGAGATTGGTGAGCTCATCCGCATGCCGAAAGGAGGGAAGATGATCCACAAGTACATTCATCAGCTACCAAAGCTGGACCTGGAGACTCACATCCAGCCCATCACCCGCCAGATGCTTAAGGTGGAGCTCACCATCACCCCAGACTTCAAGTGGGATGAGAAAGTCCATGGACGCTCCCAGGCTTTCTGGATCTTGGTTGAGGATGTGGACGCAGAAAACATCCTCCATCATGAGTATTTCCTCCTGAAGCAAAAGTTCAATGAGGATGAGCATGTCATCAAGTTCTTTGTGCCTGTGTTTGAGCCTCTCCATCCCCATTACTTCATTCGCATCACTTCTGACACCTGGCTTGCAGCAGAGACTCAGTTGCCAGTGTCCTTCCGTCATTTAATCCTTCCTGAGAAATATCCACCTCCCACTGAGCTGCTCGACCTTCAGCCTCTGCCCATCACTGCTCTTAGGAACCCACAGTACGAGGCCCTCTACAAAACCCTCAACAGAAACCAGCAGTTCAATCCAATCCAGACCCAAGTCTTCAATGCAACCTACAACTCAGATGACAGTGTATTCATTGCTGCTCCTACAGGTTCTGGCAAGACTCTGTGTGCAGAGTTCGCTATTTTGAGGATGTTCAGCCAAGATGAGACAGCCAGATGTGTGTATGTGGCCTCCAAGGACGAGATTGTGGAAAGCATGTATGACCACTGGCAGGAGAAGTTTGGGAACCTGGACAAGAGGGTGGTGCTGCTAACCGGTGAGACTGGTGCAGATCTCAAGCTCCTCAACAAAGCTAACATTGTGGTGAGCACTGCAGAGAAGTGGGATGTGCTCTCTCGCCGCTGGAAACAGAGGAAAAATGTGCAGAATATTAGTTTGTTTATTGTTGATGAGCTGCAGTTGATGGGAGGCTCTGATGGCCCTACATTGGAAGTGGTTTGTTCTAGGATCCGTTACATTGCCTCAAAGATCAGCAAACACATCAGAATACTTGCCCTGAGTTCTTCCTTGGCCAATGCCAGAGATGTGGCACAGTGGCTTGGGTGTTCCTCAAACTACACTTTCAATTTCCATCCTAATGTTCGTCCATTGCCTCTAGAACTGCACATTCAAGGATTCAACAATCCCCACAATGCTTCAAGAATATATGCCATGGCCAAACCTGCTTACTCAGCTATCCTAAAGCACAGTCCAAGGAAGCCAGCAATGGTGTTTGTTCCCTCAAGAAAACAGAGTATGATCACAGCAAGTGACCTCCTCACCTTTGCAGCAGCAGACAAGGAACCACAGAGATTCTTGCAGGTAAACCCTGAGGAAATGACAGAATTCCTTCCACAGATAAGTGATGAAATGTTGAGGGAACTGGTGAGCCAGGGTGTAGGATACTTGCACGAGGGTCTCAGTGCCAGAGACCGCAGGATGGTTGAGCGGCTCTTTGAGGCAGAAGCCATCCAGGTTGTGGTTGTGAGTCGTGCACTGTGTTGGGCTGTGACGGCACCTGCTCACTTGGTGGTTATCATGGACACACAGAGCTACAATGGCCGTCTTCACAACTATGAAGATTATCCCATCACAGACACTCTGCAGATGGTAGGTCGTGCAAATAGACCTAATGACGATGATGAGGCCAAGTGTGTCCTCATGTGTCATTCCTCAAAGAAGGACTACTTTAAGAAGTTCTTGTATGAGCCTCTGCCCATTGAGAGCCATCTTGATCATGCCCTCCATGACCATTTCAATGCTGAGATTGTCACACGTACCATTGAAAACAAACAGGAGGCTGTGGACTATGTCACTTGGACTTTCTTGTACCGACGCATGACACAGAACCCCAATTACTATGGACTACAGGGTGTCTCTCATCGTCATCTGTCAGATCATCTCTCAGACCTGGTGGAGAATACCCTCCATGACCTGGAAGAGTCGAGGTGCATCACCATTGAAGATGACATGGACACAGCTCCCCTTAACTTGGGTATCATTGCCTCATATTATTACATCAACTACACTACAATTGAATTGTTCAACAAGTCACTCAACAGCAAGACAAAGATCAGAGGTCTGCTGGAGATCATCTCCAGTGCTGCAGAGTATGAAAATGTACCTATTCGCCATGGGGAGGAAGACACCCTGCGACGTCTCATTCAGAAGGT